TATTTGTAGGTGAGTGATGATGCTGGAGAAATATACATTATAACTAGCATGAGAGTTGTTTCCTGTGAAATATATTTTAATTCTACCATACTAATCTTTATTTTGTTGTTTCTTTTTAGAGTGGAAATATGCCTTGAAGTAGGGTCAGGGTCTGGAGTAGTATCTGCATTCCTAGCCTCTATGATAGGTCCTCAGGCTTTGTACATGTAAGTATATCATCTTCATCCACATCTTCCACTGAGAGATGCACTATGAATGAAATAATTTTTGTAAGGAGACAATATATATCTGATAATGTTTACTTAAGTATTATAAAAAGCAAGATTGCAAATTATGCTTCCCTAAAAATTATAACTTCATGTTCCAAACTGCTCTATCATACTACATAATTATAGAAGCAGCATAATTTTAGATCATCTCTAAATGTGATTCTTTTTTAGGTCAATTATCTGATTATGAGAAAAAATCAAAGTTACTTAAATTTCTTTATAAAAAATTGGAGAATACAGAAAAATATAGAAGAAAATAAAAATCACCAGTAAATTTTATTTCCTTAATTTTTTTTCATTTCCTATGTTTTTAATTTAATATTGTCTCATGAACATTTTCCTATCAAAAATTATTTTTAAATTTTATTTTTGGAGGCTGCATAGTACTGCTTCATTGGATATATCATAATTTAATAAATTCTTTCAGATGTGTGTACTTATATGTGTATTTTTCTACTCTTGAACGTTATATTAATATGATAGTCTTTCTCATCAATATAAACAAATCTTTATTCTCTTTTTCTTTGCCATTTTTAAAGCATTCTAATTTTGTTTTCTAAATCTCTATATAGAATTAAGTGAAAATTCCTCGAAATATTCAGTAACAGATTTTCCTTGTGGACATCAAATATAGTTTTCTTCTGCTTCTGTTTATAGGTGCACTGATATCAACCCTGAGGCAGCAGCTTGTACCCTGGAGACAGCACGTTGTAACAAAGTCCACATTCAGCCAGTAATTACAGATTTGGTGAGCTGTTAATTTTTGTCCAATAATAATCCATTTTCTTTTCAAATAAGTTAAGGTCGAGATCTTTTAGGTCAAAGAAACTTAAGTAATTAACTTTTGACCCACTAAACAGTATACCCCAGGAATGGGGAACCTGTGGCCTTAATGCCACATGTGGCCTTTGGGACTTTAATTGTGGCCTTTTGACTGAATCCAAATTTTACAGAACAAATCCTTTTATTTGTATTAATACATTTTTGTTTGTCGTTTATATTTTTATTTTATTTTTGAAATGAACGTATTTAAAATACCAAACAATAAAATAAACTTCAACAAAATGATCCTCCCAGATTGACCAGCACAATTAGAACATTAGTAAGCCATAAGGGCTAAATTGACAGCCTCTACACTCATGATTTAGTTCTAACTTCCCCTGCCTGACAAGTGCAGAGTTTATGGGGTTTGAGTATGCCAGTCTGTTGTCAGCTTTTGACAACGGTGCACTGCGTTTCTGTTTGACATGGAATTTGTAAACAGTTGCACAACTAGACGATATGTTTTAGTTCTGTCTGCTTAACAGCCTATCATGTCAAAGAAGACCAAGACAACGCTGAAGGAAGAAAACAGATTTTTTAATGAGGATTGGGAATTGCAATATTATCTTGTTTCTGCTAAAGATAAGATGATTTGCTTGCTTTGTGATACTGCAATATCAAAGAAATTAAAGAAAATTAAAGAAATTCAGTGATCATCAGCTTTATGACATTCATAAGGACAACATATATTTTGAATTAGAGGGAGAGACTCAAAAGATTGTATTGCAGAAATTAATAGACGAAAAGCAAATGCAAAGCAATTCTTTCAAGCAGCAATAAAACCTGGAAATAATGCCACTGAAACACCTTATAAAGTAGCTACTATACTTGGGGAAAAAAAGGAAGCTATTCAGTGATGCAGAAATTGTGAAAGAATGTGTTGTCAACGTTGTAGGATGTTTAGACCCCAATAACATTCCAAAATACAAACAACTGCCTCTATCAAGGAGAACTGTTACTGATCAGCATCGTTAATTAGGCTTCTAACAGAAATAACTTCATGCAATATTTAAAAAGGAAAATATATATTATTTAATCACTTTAGATGAATCAACTGATAGTACTGACTCGCCACAGGTTTTATACTTCATTTGGGTCATAACAGAAGATTTTCTTTGCTATGAAGAGTTACTTGCTTTGGGCACTGTTGAGAACAGAACAGGGGTAATAGATCTTTTCAACAACTTTCAAGATAAATGTTGTGAAGTTGGACTGAATTTGGTAAATTTAGTGAGTGTATGTATAGACAGTGTACCTTCCATGACAAGAAGACATGAAGAGTTTATTGCACAGATAAAAAAGTATTAACAGATCCAGATGCTCTCATTTCTTTTCATTTTATCTTGCATCAGCAAAATCTCTATGCTAAAACTACTATTTTAAGTGACATTTCACAACAAGTTATAAGTATTGTTAACTACATTCATGCAAATGCAATACAGCATCATCAGTTTTGTAACATGCTAAAATTGAACCATGAAGTATTCAGTGTGGATTTGCCATATTATTCTAAAGTGTGTTGGCTATCTCAAGGACAGGTATTAGCCAAAATTTTATCTCTGCAAGAACAGATAGCTAAAAAAAAAGAAAACAGAAAAGAACAGATAGCTAAATTTTATGAAGAACAGGATCAGCAATGTGAATTATTGAAAGAAGATTTCTATAGGAATGCAGCATTTCTGTGTGATATCATGTCAAATCAAAATGACTTGAATATTTCTTTGCAAGGTAAAACTAAGTCTATATATGATATGTGGCAAAAAAAATCCAAGCATTTTGAAAAAAGCTATCTTTTTTCAAAACACTTCTTCAAAAGGAAATTTCAGATGAACACTTTCCCCAGTTAGCAAAGGTCATTGATGAGCAGGATGATATATGTGAATCATTTGAAGAATACACAGCTTTTATAGCCTATTTATTGAAGAATATAATGAAAGTTTCACTGACTTTGAGAATCATGACATCACACTCAAATTAGCATTTCAGCCTCACCTAGTTGATATCACCAAGGCACCTAAAGAACTACAGATGGAATTGATTGAGCTCTCAGTAGATGACATTTTAAAGTCATTGTTTGATGTTAAGAAAGATCCAATTGAAATGTGGAAAAATGCAGTAGAATACCCATGCCTTTGGCAGCATGCCCAAAAAATGCTTTCTTACTTATCAACCACTTATTGCTGCGAATCTATATTATACCTAACCCAAATCAAGACAGCTTAAGGTCACACGAGACTGACACCCATCTAGAGGATCAACTGAAACTACAGACCTCCGTGCTGCAACCAAATATTCATATGCTTTCCAACAAAAAGCAGACACAACAAAGTCATTAAAAGGTTAGTTAACTTTAAAATTAACAATAGTTTTCATTTTTTGAAATTAAATACCTAGTAGTTAGATTTTTACAAAATAATGTACATTTTTAAGTATATCTAATTGAATTTTCTTGAATGTGGCCTTATTTGATTGTAGCTAAATTAGTGCGGACTTGCAACATGAAAAGGTTCCCCATCCCTGGTATACCCTATATAAAGTAAACCCTTGACCGATACAATCCAACTTCTCCACAATTCAAAAGGAATTTATATTGGCTTGTATATGTCAGGCATCTTTTGATTTGAAATGACCCCAGTTCAAACTGGCTTAAATAAAAGTTGATGACTTCAGGCATAGCTGCCTCCAGGAACTCAAATGACATCATAGGCATCTTTTTCTTAGCTCTGAACTCTCTCTCTGGTGGCTCTATTCCAAAGCAGTCTTTCCCTTCATGGTAAGAAGATGTTTATATGTCTATATCTTATTTCTCAGAAACTCCTCAAGGAAAGAAACTTTTTCTACTCAGTTACTCTAGCAAAAGCCCCAGAATGAGTATTGTTTGGATCAACAGTTCATGTGCATGTCTCTCAGTCTCTTGCTGTGGCTTAGGGGAATTAGAGTGTGTAGGTGATTGGCTTCAACCTGGATAATAGTCCTGTCCCAGGAACTGGGTCAGGATAAACCCTACCCAAGCCACTTGGATTGAGGATGACAGGAGATAGAGCTTCCCCAACAAAAGTCAAAGGTAAAATCAGAAGAAAGGGAGAATGGGTCGTGGGCAGGTAAAAACAACAAATGACGACTGCAGAAGCATCATTTTATATTAAGTTAACATCATCTCATAAAACATTTCTCCTTAGGAGTGCAGAAGGTTTATTTAAAAAAATTTCTCTTACTTAGAGAAAATAAATGTTTAACTTAGTGGATATAGCAATAAAGTTATGTTCAAATCTA